TAAATCGTAATAAAGATGATCCATTTATGATGTTTTAAAAATTAAGACCTAGAAAAGACTGATTTAAGACATTTTAATACCAATTAAGGCCTTAGTTTTATTTTGAAGAATTCAATGCCTTTTAAGACTTTTTAAGGACCCGCGGGAACCCTGTTGGCTAGAAGCTGCTCGGCTGCATCGAGTGCTGATAGCTTTGGCTTGAGTTCACCAAAAGGTCAACACATTTGAATCTTAATTTTTTTGCTGCTGATTATTTTTTTTTTCTTTACAACACTAGTGGTCCCGTGGCGCACTAACCAGTACGCCACGGACACACCGATTGCTGCTGATTTTTTTACAGCTGGATATTTTGCAGCTGAATTTTTACCATTATATAAATACAGTGTGAGGAATTCAATGTGTAAAAAAAATTCAGTGTTTAAAATTCGGTGTACAAAAAAAGGCAGATTCCATGAGACTGTTTTTCTTCCATATTACTCCGTCCTTGATGAGCTGAGCTGCTGCAGCTGCATCCTCATGATGCACAATCGGTTAAACGCTCTAATGTTTCCATTTCTGCTCAGTTCCAATTTCCTCTTTATGATTCTTTGCTCTAAAGGATTATCTCCATAACATCTTAGCTTTCTTCACAGCTCATGCACTGCAAATATAAGTCAATATTTCTTAAATTAAGTGTTAATTTGAGCAGGAGAATAAGATGATCTGCCAATGGAATTAGTATTTTTACTCTTAAAATTAGATAATTAGATAATGTACACTTGAAATAAGACAAAGTAATAGTTTTTTTCTTATTTTAAATGTAAATTGTGTTGTTTCTCAAGTGTCTCGCTTCCCTCCTCAATTCAATAAAAAATGCACTGATTTTAAGAGAAAATGACTTATTTAGATTTCTATTTTTTTTAATGGATGTGATGTTCTGGGAACGCTGGGACTCCAGCTCTGCTTCCTGCTCTCAATAAGCTCTCTGCGTCTTACAGCAGTGGTATTCCAGCTCCATGAGGGCCGTGTGCGTCTGGCTGACCGACAGGCTGGACCTGCAGCTCCATGTTTACCAGCTCAAAGTCCTCATCAAGATAGTGAAGGTAAACAAAGTCCTGGAAAGGAATGCAAACTGATTCAAATCATCTTTTCCATAAAAGGGAAACATTTAGATGAGTGTATGAGCTGAAGGTGTCTGTAACGCTCCCTGCAGTAAATATACAGATTGTCTGCATTTAAATATTTCCAAGCTTTTCTAAAAGGCTGAAGAGTTTAAATGGAACCAGAGTTTTATCTGATTGAAAGAAATCTGAACAATGAAGCAGATGAAGGATCAGCTCCCAGAGTTTAAACCGGGTTTCTACCTCCTTCATTTAACCAGCTCTGATTCCTTTATCTGTTTTTATCAGTTCAAATCATCTTGTTTATAAATTAAAACATCAGAAAGTGGATTATTTCAGACACCTTCAGCCTGATTCTGCTGAGATCAAGCGCTGATCGTGTTGTTGATTAACTGAGCTGAAAGTTCCTCCAGCAGAGACAGAAATCAACCAAACTTTAGGCTGATTTTCTAAACAGGAACTGAAATGAAAGTTTCAGTGAGATCCTGCATCTTAGAAAATCAGGCTGGTGAAAATGTTCCCTAAAGGCAACAAACCTGGAAGCAGTTTTAGGTTCCTGCGTGACGATGATCCCACATCTGGGGGGGCGCACTGCAAAAACGATGTAGAAAAATGTAGTGTATTTACCTTTAATTTCAGCAGGTAAACCATTAGATAAATATTAGGTTCATTGGGCTTCAAGTTCGTGAGGCCCCATAAAA